GTAGATCATGATAAACATTTTCACGCTGAAAAAGGTGTTCTGTGCTGTCTCCTAGTAGTTTCCCCTTGTAGAAGAGCTACTGTTCTGTCTGATGTTGTTTATGGCAGATAGTTCTCCTTTCTAAGGGTAGAAGGAATTTGTGAGTGTTTGGCATTATGGATGGAGGTAAATCAAATGATAGCTACCCCCCAAGTATGGTTTAGAGAAGGATTGTAGAGGAGATTCTTAGTTTTCATGACTAGTAACTCTTTGTAGGTTAGTTTTAGGACCTGAAAATTTGTTTAGACTGCAGAGATTCCAGTTGCCTCCTCAAATAATATAGCTGTCTGCTTGCTTTATAGTATTCTCTAGGCACACAGCCAGGAAGGACATGGATTACCTCCTTATATAGATGCCTTTTGGAGCCTTTTAAATAGTAGGCATTGTGTAGGTTAACTCACAGGCCTTGCAGGTTGCTTAATAAGGTTTTGAACATTTCTTAATGTAATTATAGAGGTATCAATGAATTGTTTTACTTTATTGTACAGTTAAGTATATACCGCAAGTAAAAAGATTCTGACTTTTTTTTTAGCATATAACTAGAATGTTAATGTATATACAGGCAGTTGCACAAGAGTCTGATTGGTTAAAGCCTGTAAAGGAGACTTTGTCAACTGAAAATTGAAAGGGAATTGCTAGCTAGGTGTGGTGGCACATGCCAGTTACCCTAGCACTTGAGGTAGAAACAGGAGGATCAGGAGTTGAAGGTCATCTGGCTAACAGTGAGTTTGGGGCCAGCCTGGCCTACATGAGACTGTGTCTCAATCCCTCCCCAACATCTATTCCCCCAGAAAAGAAGAAATGGGGAAATGGAATTGTTGATCATGATTTTTACTTCTAGTGCTTAAATTAGGGTTTTTTGTTTGTTTTTACACTGGGACCAGTATTTTTACCATTGTTACTCATTAACGTTAAGCAGTCGAAACTTTACCATGGTATAGTGTTGATTTGGGGCAATTTTTTTTTCTGAAATCTGGATGACTTAAGTACATTATAAAAAAAAATACATAGCTTTACATTCTGTTATACTTTTGAGGTATGAATCTTATATATTCTTTAGAAATAATCATGAAAAGACTTATTAGGATTTGAATTATGAATGCTTTTGAGCCCATACTCCATATAAAGTATTTTTGTCTTTTGGAATAAATGTTTAATATATTGTTGCTCTAAGACTTAATAATTATCTTGATATGGTAAACTTCATCCACTAAACTTTCTTGTGGTGGGTTAGAGGACAAAAGCAAAATTGGTTAGATTAGGCATTGAAAAAGTTCATACTTTTATCTCTAGAAATTAAGATTTTATATAGTTATGTGTGTAGAGTGCTAGTTTTTAGGAAATTCACAAAAAGCTAAAATGCTATTAAAGTTAGCTTTAAGAACTGACTTCTACAGAAAATGTGTGAGTCTGTTCAGTGTTTTGATATCTGTGAATTTAGTTTTGGAAATTTGACTTTCTTTTCAGGTACGTCTTTGTATGATTTATTCCCCAATTTTCATTTGTTTTAGCTGGGTTAGTTACAGCTTAGTAGCTTGCTACAGGTAGGGAATGCTCATACACAGAGAATAGAACATGGTTCCTGCTCAAAGTGCTGATGGTGTATAAAATAACTTGGAGGGGGTAATTAATTATGGTACTACACTGATATGAAGTAAAAGTGTGAATGATGTGAGTAAATTAGTTAATGAAACTGCTTTGCAGAAGTAATTTTTTGCTTAAATTTTGAAGCTGTAGTATGAATAGATTGGAAAGGGAGAGTATCAGTTAGGGAGAAAGGAGTGTTAAAAGAATAACACAGGGCTGGAAATTCTAGAATGCAAGTATTTTTCTTGGAGTCTGACCTAGTTTAAATAAAGATAATAATTGCTAAGATTGTGACATGAGTTGAAGAATCTGGCTTTGCTTGGAAATTCAAAATAAAGGGTTTTACTGATGGTCATTGGCCAGAATTGCATGAAGAAATAGAAGATAGCTAGAACATGATTGGAGGAGATGTGATTGAAGTGCAAAGGGTCAGAATAGAGGTGATTATCTTGGTGGTTGGGAGAGGGCATAAGGAAGGATGGATATTTTATTTTTTAATTTTTATTATTTTTCGTTTATGTGTATGCGTGTACTGCCTGCATGTAGATAAGTGCACCCGTGTCGTGCAATGCCCACGGAGGTCAGAAGAGGCTGTCAGATCCCCTGGGACTGGAGTTACGGACAGTTGTTAGCTGCCATGTGGGTGCTGGGATTCGAACCAGGGTCTTCTGCAAGAACAACCAGTGTTCTTAACCGCTGAGCCATCTCTCCACCCCAAGGATGGATATTTTTAAAACAGAGCACAGGAAATACTGAGGCTTCTAAGTGTGTATAGTGCAGTATTAACATAAAAATGGAACAAATTAGCCCGGCATTTGTGATGCATGCCTTTAGTCTGTAGAGGCAAGTGGATCTCTGTGAGTTCAAGACCAGCTTGGTCTACATAGCAAGTTTCAGGCCAGCTTCAGGCCAGCTGGGGCTGCAGGGAGACCCTGTCTCAAAAAGATAAAAACAAACACAAATTGGTGCTGGGCAGATGGCTTAGTAAGTACTTGCTGCACAAGTATCAGGATTAAAAAGCTGTGTGCAGGTTCCTTCATCTGTAACCTCAGCCCCTCAGCACTGGGATGGGGGGTTGGGAGAGAAGAGTGGAAAGAATTGACAGGTATGTCTCTGGAGTTCCCACACAGGCCAGTGTAGCTGAATTGGCAAACTCCAGGTTCCGTAAGACCCTGTTTCCAAAAACAAGGTAGAAGGTGATAAACAGAGGAAGACACTTGACATCTATTTCTGGCTTCTACACACAGGCACATGGACCACACCCAAATACCATATAAAATGAGGGACCGTAGAGATGGCTCAGTGGTTAAGAGCACTGACTGCTGTTGCAGAGGACTCAGGTTTAATTCCCAGCACCCACATGGCAGCTATGAACCATCCTTAACTCCAGTTCTAGGGGAATCCGAAGCCCTCTTCTGACCTCCGGCATTGCCCTACACGGGCTTTCTCACATACATGCTGGCAATACACTTATAAATAAATAAAAATAATAAATATTAAAAACCAAACAAAATGAAAAATGTCTACCATTTTCTGATATTCAGCAATTTTGTTGGGGATAAAGTTTACATAGTTTACAGCAAAAGTTAAATAAATCTTAAGATACACCTATCTTTTTCCATAGAAGACTCAATGAATTTAGCAGTTCTTTGTTACTACGTTTGATGTGAGAACAGAAACCCAAGAGAAGTTAGCTGTAATGGCTGGACTTGGAATTAAATACATTTGAGATTAGTATAATTGAATGATGAATTTTTAATTATAATAATATATGCTAGCCATGGTATAAGAAAAATTCTAATGGATACTTGTACTGATAGACAAACAGGAGATAAATAAAAGTTAATGATCTGGACCATGATAGCTTTTATTACTAAATAGATAATGTGTTTTAAAATCTAGGAGTGTGGGGCTGGAGAGATGGCTCAGCAGTTAAGAACACTGACTGCTCTTACAGAGAACCTGGATTTGGTTCCCAGCACCCACATGGCAGCTAACAGCTGACTTCTGACTCCTGCAGGCATTGCATGACACCGGTGCAATGACATGCATGCAGACTAAACATTCATACACATAAAATAAAAATATAAAATTTAAGAATATTTGGAAACACTTTTTAAATGTTGGCAATGGAAACCAAGACTTCATGTATGGCAGGCAAGTGTTTTACTACTGAACTGTACTCTATACTCAACAGTAGGGGGAGAAATGCTTAATTTTAATTGCCTGAATATATATTTAAAATACATTTAGCTTTACTAGAATTTTAAGATCCCCTTAATTGAACCTATATTATTATTATTATTATTATTATTTTTGAGACAGGGTCTCCTTGTAGCCCCAGCTGTCTTGGAACTCACTATGTAGACCAGGCTGGCCTCGAACTCACAAAGATCTGTTTTTCTAGAATTTTATGAAATTAAATTATGTAATTCGTTTTGTATGTTGGAGATTAAACAAATTTTCTTGGCATGAGAGGCAAGCACTCAACCACAGAACCATACCCCCAACCCTAGAATTCAGTTTTTAATTATTTTATAAATTTAAATTTTTTTTGGTCTTTTTGAGACAGGGTCTCCCTGTAGCCCCAGTTGTCCTGGATTCACTATTGAGACCAGGCTGGCCTAGAACTCCTAGAGATCCGCCTGCCTCTTTCTCCTGAGTGCTGGGATTAAAGGTGTGCACCACCATGCCTGGCTTAAATCTTATTTTTAAAAATTAAGAATTGGGACAAGTTTTGGAGCTAAAGGAGGTTTAGTTTTTAAGGAAGTAGTGTCTAACAGCTAATATATGCTTGCAGTTAGAAATGATAATAGTTCGTAAGAACATGGTAAAATAGATTTGTATTTGACTGTCCAGGTTGCCTATTGCAATAAATCAGCAGCTGGAACAATGAGAACGTGAACATGGAAACTGATGAGCGCTCCCTTTAACATGGATTAAATAGCCATTTATTACCAACTTCCCACTAGAATTGTATAAAGGATTAAAAAAATACAAGGTAGAGGATCTCCGTACAAAACTGGAAGATTGATCACTGTAGTAAATCCTGGGAGCAGGTAGTAACAGTTGTGTAGAGAAAGCTGACTTTGCTGTCAGTGAAAAAGACATACATTTGGTCTAGAATTGGTGATATTAAAGGTGGCTACAGGTACTTCTGAAAGAATTTTCTGTACGTTTGTGTAACAACACTCTTGGGACCAGAAATCATCTTTTACCTTCATCCAAGTTTCTTAACATTGAAATGGAAGATCTCTGTTGAAGATAACTAGGTACAGGTTAGGGTAAGGGTATCATACCTAAAATCAGGGAGGATTGAATAGACATCTACATGTTAAACTAGAAATCAATGCCAGCCTCTTTTTTCCTCTCAGCTCTGGCTGTCAGGATCCTATTTCCAGATACGAGATCCGAAAATTCATCCTTTTACAACAAGCTGATGAGATAAAGGAAAAGCAAAAACTCAGTTGATAACAGATGAAGATCCATCAGGTAAATGACTCAGATTGATTGTATTATAGTGGTACCTACCCACAACTTTTAAGTACTTACTCTTAAATAAGGATTAAGGCTCACCAACCATTTGAGAATAACCTAAAAGAGAAGGAAGTAGGAACCCTGGAAGAAAACTAAAATGTAAGTGATACCTTTGGAATATCCTATAAAAATCATGTTTAGAAAATGAAGAGCTCTAAAATTGAGACTATGAAATAATAGAAGGGTGGGAAGTTTTAAGATATTAAACAATAGAAGATTTGAAAATTTAGAGTATTAATATAACGTTGAGAGACATTTCCAAGATAAGGGATGTAAAGTAGGAGGAAATAAAATCAGAATACACTTGGAGGCTCAACATAGGAAAAGCAGTGAGAAAATGAGTGGAGAAAATAAATGATTGAACAGAAGCGTTGAGGGAGGGTTCATGGAAATCAAGTGGAGCGGTATACACCTACAATCTCAGGTGCTAGGGTGGCTGAAGCAGGATTGCCTGCCTGGGTTATGACTAGGTCAAGGTCAACCTGGGCAATTTAGCATGGCCATGTCTCAAAAACTGTAAAAATAATTCTCAATGGTAGAGCAAGAGCACCTGCCTAGCGTGCCCAGAGCCTTGAGTTCATTCCCTAGGAAAACACAGACTCATGGAATGTTCAACATAGTGTTTGGAAAAGTACACATTGATGTTTTAGACATCAGAAATAAAGGGACGGTCCTAAATGCTCATAAAAAATATGAATGGGGCTGGAGAGAAGGCTCAGCGGTTAAGAACACTGTTCTTGCAGAAGACCTGGGTTCGAATCCCAGCACCCACATGGCAGCTAACAACTCCAGTCATTGCACAATATGAGTGCACTTACCTATATGCAGGCATAACATACACATAAAATAAAAATAATATTTTATAAAAAATATGAGTCAGCATTGGAAAGTAGTAATAGTATTACACTTTCAAAATCCTGAAGGAAAATTATTTTCAAGCTCTTCATTCTGCACTCTACCAACTTGTGAACTGCAGAAACAGGTATAAAAGCAAAGCATGTGGCTAGACTATTGACTTCAAATGCACCATGGCTCAGGAAGTTACTCAAAAAATGATGGGGTAGACTACGAAGAGGAAGGGTCTCATAGAAGCCTGGGGTGAGAATTCCTGGAATGATGAACAGATATCCAAGGATGCACAGATAGAGGCATGTGAATAAATGGTTCTGCATGGCATGTAATTAGGTAAAACAAGATCCCAGAAATTCTTGGAACCGGAACTTTTGCAGATTTCAGAGGTGTTGGTTTTTTGGAACATTTGGGATTAACCAGTAGAGCCATCAGATGCTCAAAAATTTTGGATTTCAGGAGATATTTTTAGGTTTCAGATTTTAGATTAAGTATATTTATAGAGAGGACTTGCGCAACTTTCAGGATGTTTGTGAACTTCATTTCATGACTTTTAGGTATGTGGCTATATTTTTTTGAAAGGTAAAGGAGGGAGGGTAGTGCTAATTCTTCAGACATTTGGATTAGATACAGACTTTACTAGAAATGTCAGGTGAACTTGTTATAAGTCTATTTAGATCTCTTACATCTTGTATCAGTTTTGGCAGTTTCTTTTTTTTTTAATTAAAAAAATATTTATTTAATAACCATATAATTAGAAGAAGCATTTCATTACAACAGCATTGACATATTCAATAACAATTTCCAGAGCTAAGATGTATCTCTTTCAAAATTGGCTGTAAATTTTTAGGTATATAGTTGAATTGATACAGTTACACAATATTATACTCTGTCTAAACCCTATAAGACATAAAATTAAGTGAGGTTTTAAACTTTAAAAAAGATCTCCATTTCATTATTAAAATACAGTTTCATACAGAAAAGACTCATTTTTAATGCTACTAACACTTAGATATTTGCACATGCATCTCTAATCTCTACGTATCTAATATTACTAGTCACAGTTGGTTACTTTCTGAGCTCCTTGGCATCTGAGCATGGATATAAAGTCATCAGATTTCAATGGTAATGTTTTTCTCATCTACTAATTATTAAGGACCAAATTTTTATGCTTTGGAGAATTATTATTTTTTAATTTTTTAAAAGTTTATTTTTACACCCACTTCCCAGGTAGCACCCTCCCATAGCCTCCCTCCCTACTCTGATATCCCTGCTACTCTCTGCTGTGTTGTCGGTACCCCAGCCATTCCCCACTATTTGCTCTTCTGGTGACTCTAATTAGCCTATCTAAAGGTCTTTGTTTTAGGAAGGTCAGCTGTTCCTCATCTAGCTGTAATCAGTTGTCTATATTCTTTGGATAAGATTGGGGTCTGCTGTTCATTTTCCCATTTCTATGCTGGGTTACTATCTGGGAATCCCTTTGGCCACCCTGGCCAACAACTCAAAAGAAGGTATCGCCTGTCTGGCATTGTTGC